GGGGGAAGTAAGGAGGGTGGAGGGGAGACTAGGGAGTAAGGATTGGGAAAAAATGAGGGAGTGGGAAAAGGTGGGGAAGGAGTGGGAAATAGGGAGGACGTAGGGGGAAAGAGGGAAGGTGGAGCGGGGAGTAGGGAGTAAGGAGTAAGGAGTAAGGAGTTGGAAAAAATGAGGAAGGATTGGCAAATAGGGAGGATGTAAGGGAAGTAGGGAGAATGGAGGGGAAGAAGGGAGGGTGTGTGTGTGTGGGGGGGGGGGGGGGGGGGGAGTAGGGAGGAAAGGATAGGGAGGAAGGATTGGGAAAAAGTGAGGAAGGAGTGGGAAATAGGAAGGATGTGGGGGGAAAGTGGGAGGATGGAGGGGGAGTAGGGAGGGTGGAGGGGGAAGTAGGAAGGATGTAGGGGGAAATAGGGAGGATGGAGGGGGAAATAGGAAGGAAGGAGGGGGAAGTAGGGAGTATGGAGGGGGAAGAGGGAGGATGGAGGGGGAAGTAGGGAAGCGAAGGAGGGGAAGTACGGAGGATGGAGGCGGGGAGGATTGAGGCGGAAATAGGGAGGATGGAGGGGGAAATAGGAAGGAAGGAGGGGGAAGTAGGGAGTATGGAGTGGGAAGTAAGGAGGGTGGAGGTTGGAGTAGGGAGGAAGGATTGGAAAAAAGTGAGGAAGGAGTGGGAAATAGGGAGGATGTAGGAGGAAAGAGGGAGGATGGAGGGGAAGAAGGGAGGATGGAGGGAGAAGTAGGGAAGCGAAGGAGGGGAAGTACTGAGGATGGAGGGGGACGTAGGTAGGATGCAGGGGGGAATAGGGACAAAGGAGTGAGAAATTTTGAGGATGGAGGGTGAAGATAATATTGCTATTATTGTTTGACAGAAAGATCTCATAAAACAAAATAGTTTGGATCTCATGTTAGAAAAAAGCAACAAAGTTTCATAGTCTTCATATTACACGTTCTCTTAACATCAAAAAGAAAGCTGAAATTTAACTTTGACAATTCAAAAGTACATCTATATCAGGTAAAGGTGTTTCCCAACCATATGGTGCTCAGAAGAAGTACATGACCTGAAACAATACATCAAATCTTGCTATATTAATGCATGGGTGATCAGTGCTCATCAGAGATACCCACCTACTATATCCAGGTAAGACAAGCTTGCAAGTCATCCATGTTTGTCTTAGAAATTGTTGGTGACAATATCTGCTGGGTGTGAATATTACTTGATGGAGGAAACGATGTGACACACATATTATATCAGCTCATGATCAGTGCTCATCAAAGTGACTCATCTTTTGTGGCCAGACAAGAACAGTTTACCATTTATCCATGCTTCCCAAAGATTTGTTGGTGACAATATCTGCTGGGTGTGAATATTTCTTGATGTAGGATAAGCTGTGACACACATCTTACATCAGCTCATGATCAGTGCTCATTAAAGTGACCCATCTTTTGTGGCCAGATTAGAACAGTTTACCAGTTACCCATGCTTGCCTTACGAATATGTTTCTGACATTATCTGCTGGATAAGAATACTACTTGACGGAGGACCATTTGTGACACGCATATTACATCAGCTTATGATCAGTGCTCATCAAAGTGATCCATCTTCTGTGGCCAGTTTAGAACAGTTTACCAGTCACCCATGCTTGCCTTAAGAATGTGTTGCTGACATTATCTGCTGGATAAGAATATTACTTGATGGAGGACCAGCTGTGACAGGCATACCTTACATGCCGCCATGGTACAGCTACAAAATTACCCATTACTTACTATTGTCGTGTCTTGTCCCTTGCCAATGTGACATAAACGTTTAACTCACTGCAGACACCTGTGTGACCAATTTACGAGTTATCCATGCTTGCCTCTCTTTATTACTTGATGGAGGACCAGCTGTGAATTGGTTAGTTGTGTGTCATTGTGGTTTGTCTGGTCCAGACTGGATTACCTTTAATGACGCCACGATACAGCTGTGTTTCTCATTACTTCAATCACTCACCCTCTGGCATGTTCACCATAACATGTTCCATTATAATGCTGCTACACTCAGAGGCCAACTGAGGCTAGACAATGCCACTAAATCTGTCTAATGGTTTGGAGAATGATACAGGTACTCACTCACATCTTACCAAGTGTGTTCCACATTTGTTTTACTCCCCTCAGAGGTATCCATTCTCACGTTGACAGTCAAACTCAAACATTTCTGATCTTTTGTATGAAAATAACAGAAGTCAGGACACAGTCACATATCATAAGTTGCCTCCTGTCACTAGATTGCAACATTATTGCCAGTGTGACATAAATGTTTAACTCACTGCTGACACCTGTGTCACACAACTCACACTCCGATACGGCAATACATGCAGCTACTCATACATTCTCTTAATCACTATTGTGACTTCAGAGAACTTATTGTGGCAATTTATGGTTCAAGCTGGATTGCTCTCATCAAGAATTATTTGTGAGACATTGAAGATACATGCTGATCGTCCATTTACAACCTTGGTCACTGAAGAATACACATACACATTCACATACACTGAATGACATCACCTAGACATTGATATTAATTGCACAAAATTGGTTGTTGAGGCACTTATGCGATGCTTAGCAATACTCTCTCACTCAAATTGTTCCTCTGCTTTAACTAACCACACAATTCAAAATAAAACATAAGTATTACTTAGACTGCAAAGTGATATTTTATTAGGAAGCAAAAACATGTATTCCAGTTACATCCCAAATAAACGGCCTCCAACCTCCCCTCACAACCGTCCCTTTCCACTCTTAACATGCACTTATAGTACATAGTACTAGTATATAGTACAGGCCCTCAAAACAAGATAGCACAAAGAACACTAAGATAGTACAGGACAGGAGAGAGTAGGGTAGAAGAGAAAGCAACAGTAAGATGGTAGATAGTACAGGACAGGAGAGAGAAGGATAGTAGAGATACAGAAGTTTGAAACAAGATGGTACAAGTCAGGAAAAAGTAGGATCGTAGAGAGAAAACAGTAAGATGACAGATAGTACAGGACAGGAGAGAGAAGGATAGTAGACAGAAAAAAGTTTGAAACAAGATGGTACAAGTCAGGAAAAAGTAGGATGGTAGAGAGAAAACAGTGAAATAATAGATAGTACAGGACAGGAGACCGCAGGATAGTAGAGAGAAGAACAGTAGGATGGTAGATAGTACAGACAGGAAAGAGTAGGATAGTAGTAGAGAGAAGAACAGTATGGACAAGATGGTACAAGTCATGAAAGAGTAGGATAGTAGAGAGAAGAACAGTAGGATGGTAGATAGTACAGACAGGAAAGAGTAGGATAGTAGTAGAGAGAAGAACAGTATGGACAAGATGGTACAAGTCATGAAAGAGTAGGTTAGTAGAGAGAAGAACAGTAGGATGGTAGATAGTAAAGACAGGAAAGAGTAGGATAGTAGTAGAGAGAAGAACAGTATGGACAAGATGGTACAAGTCATGAAAGAGTAGGATAGTAGAGAGAAGAACAGTAGGATGGTAGATAGTACAGACAAGAAAAGAGTAGGATAGTAGTAGAGAGAAGAACAGTATGGACAAGATAGTACAAGTCATGAACGAGTTGGATAGTAGAGAGAACAGTATGGACAAGATGGTACAAGTCAGGAAAGATTCAATAAGATGTTAGTACAGGACAGGATATTAGAGAGGAGAACGGTGAGATGGTGGATAATAAAGGACTAGTTTGATACAAGGTTGTACAAAGCAGGAGAGATTAGGGTATTAGAGAGAGGAACAGTAAGATTGTAGATAGTACAGGACAAGAAGAGAGTAGGATAGTAAAGAGAACAAGGAGATGGTAGAAAGTACAGGACAGGAGAGAGTAAGATAATAGAGAGAAGAACGGTAGGATGGTAGATTGTACAGGACAGGAGAGAGTAGGATAGTAGAGAGAAGAAGAGTAGGATGGTAGATAGTACAAGACAGGAGAGAGTAGGATAGTAGAGAGAAGAACAGAAGGAGGGTAAGTAGTTCAGGACAGGATAGAGTAGGGTAGTAGAAAGAAGAACATAAGAGGAAGGTAGATAGTACAGGACAGGCTAGAGTAGGATAGTAGAGAGGAGAACAGTTGGATGGTAGATTGCACAGGATAGAGTAGGATAGTAGAAAGAAGAACAGAAGGATGGTAGATGGTACAGGATAGAGTAGGATAGTAGAGGGGGGAGAACAGTAGGATGGTAGATAGTACAGGATAGATTAGGATAGTAGAGAGAAGAACAGTAGGATGGTAGACAGTACAGGAGAGGATAGAGAAGGATAGTAGAGAGGAGAACAGAAGGATGGTAGATGGTACAGGATAGAGTAGGATAGTAGAAAGAAGAACAGTATGATAGTAGATAGTAGAAGACAGGACAGATGAAGATAGTAGAGGAGAACAGTAAGGTGGTAGATAGTACAGGACGGATAGAGTAGGATAGTAGAAAGAAGAACAGTAGGATGGTAGAAAGTACAGGACAGGACAGGTTAAGATAGTAGAGGAGAACAGCAAGATGGTAGATAGTACAGGACAGGATAAAGTAGGATAGTAGAAAGAAGAACAGTAGGATGGTATATAGTACAGGACAGGAGAGAGTAGGATAGTAGTGAGAAGAACAGTAAGATGGAAGATAGTAAAGGACAGGAAATAGTAGGATAGTAGAGAGAAGGACAGTAGGATGGTAGATAGTATGGAACAGGAGAGAGTAGGATAGTAGAGAGAAGGGCAGTTCAATTACAAGATAGTACATGACAGGAGAGAGTAAAAAACATGTTTTTCAGTTACATACTAAATAAACGGCCTCCAACCTCCCCTCACAGCCGTCCCTTTCCACCCTTAACATGCACTTATAGCATTTGTTTCTTTGTCTGTTGTTTAAAGCTGCACACAGCAATATTCCAGCTATATGACGTGGTCTGTAAATAATCCAGTCTGGACCAGACAATCCAGTGATTGACAATTTGAGCATCGATCCACGCAATTGGTATACCATGACTTGCATCAACCAAGTCAGTGAGCCTGACAACTCAATCATGTTAGTCACCTCTTACAACAAGCACTCTTGCCTTTTACGGCAAGCATGGGTTGCTGAAGACCTATTCTACACTGGACCTTCCTGGATCGCACTTATAGTACATTGTACTTAGTAGTATATACTAGAAGCCCTAAAACACAGGATTGTGCAGGGAACAATTAGATGGTACAAGACAGGAGAGAGTAGAATAGTAGAGTGAAAAACAGATTGATACAAGATAGTAGATGTCAGGAAAGAGTAGGATAGCAGAGAGAAGAACAGTAAGATAGTGCATTGTACAGTTGTGTTTGACAGTACATAATAGTGTAGTGTTGGACAGTGATTGGAGGATAGTGTAGAAATGTGGAAATGTGTAGAAAAAGAAAGAGTGAAATAAGCGAAAGATATGTTGAAGATAATGTAATTGTATAAACATCAACCTAACTATACACCAATCTATACCTACCTGTCCCCTGCCCCTTACAGTGTTTAGAAGAAGTCCCTGGTGCCAGATGAGAGACTGGAGCTGTACTCAGCCAGGAGAGCTTCCAGGTCCTCCAGAGTGTCCTGGGGCTCCTCCAGTCTTGCCTGCTTCACAGCTCGGGGCACCTCGCTGTTGTCAACTGGGCACTTCCTCTTGCGTGAGGGCAGGGACTCCTTGCTGGGCTCAGCAGTGGGTTTCCTCTTTTTCCTTAAAATAAGCTTAGTAAGATACAGATATTCCACATCATATTCATTATCAGACTTAGGCTCAGCTCTGTCCACTGCCTTGACAGGACTTACACTTACTGTTGCAGCAATTACGACACCTGACTTAGGACTCTCTGATGCTGAAACAACCTTATCCTTTACATTCTTAACAGGGACAGGGAAGGTCTTGCAACCTGTACTGCGCAAGACAGACTTTGACTTTATGTAAGCACGATCAGCAGACAACAATTGTTCAGGAAAACTAAGCTTAGATGAGGACTTAATGATACCATTATCACCCGAGGGCTTAGTGATACGGTTCCCAAGGGGTCTGCTCTGGGTTTTGACATGCTTAGCTCCAAGAGGCTGCGGCACAAAGTAGGGCTTGCTCTCAGGCTGATGCTTGCTTATTTTCTCCTTAGGAATGGGAGGCTTTGGCTGAGGTTTGGGCCGGAAAGTGCGGGGTTTGCGTTTGCAGGGCTTGAGCTCAGGTTTTTTGGTTTGGGGTTTGGGGTTGCTTGTTGTAGACATGGCAGGAGTTTCAACATGGGCTATAGACTGAGGATGAACTGTACCAGGTAGGTCAAGTTGGGGCAGAACACAGGAGAAGACCTATTGGGTGATACAGTCATTGTATCATTTTTATATTTCATGATCACATAAGTACAATGGAAGTATATCTCTACTATAAACTTTATAAAGGAAGTATTATCATTTTTTTATTTACATTTTGAAATCATCAACAACAACCAAATACTCCTGCATACCTCTGGTCTCATCAGCTCCAGGTCTAGCACTGAACTGGGCAGGCTGACAGGCGGCTGGCTGACAGGCATCATCTCCCTACGTCCACTGCAAGATGGTGCCTGGACTGCAGGAGTAAGGGGGATACCAGTCACAGATGATTGAACTCCAGGCTGCAGGAGTTTGGGCTGTGGGTAACCAGCACCCAGGGAGAAGTAAACAGGATTACCAGCTGGTATCCAGATAGTGTTGTGATCTACCAGACATCTGGTCCCATCTCCCATCACCACTGTCGGCAACCCGGAGGGCAAGCGGGTCACAGGCACTGTAACAGTGAATAGTTAACTAAACTGCCAACAAAATAATTCGTCATTTTGATAACACTGAAAACAAATATCTAACTGTAAACCAGTTCGTTTGATTTACGTCTTTTGAAAAGAAGTCTAGTGTGTCTTCTTCATTTTCCCTCTGTCAAATATGTCATGCCTCATGTTTACTTTATACCAGTACATCATAAGAAATTGCAGTAGTCCTAAAGTCCTTGCCACTCACCATGTTAAGGGTTTTGTTTGGCCTATATGTTGTCATTGGAAGGACTAGTGGACTAAAACTGTTAGTTTCTATCGCTGCAGTGCCTAAAGTGTACAGGTTATTCATAACTCACTTTGCAAACTCGGACTAAATACAGACATTGAAAATAGAAACTGGGGTGTGGAAAACGTCAGCGTTTCATTGTTTGCATTGTAAACATATAAGGTAAATCACTGGCTTTATCACTGGCAAAATGCAAATTTCATATACCTGCCGTAGTAGGATTCATTGTTTTTTCCACTTCTTCAAGTTGTATACACTTTTCGAGTTGTATTTTGCACGATAAAACTGCAAATACTTCCAGTGATATCTCTCAAAATGGCGGACACACAGGAAGGGCTAACTGTTGTCATGACGCCGCTACTCTCGGCAAAGGCACGCATGCGTCGACTTTATGCATAACTTGCACTTCCGTCTCTATATTGTGTAAACATAGATATATCCACACGAACACTTCCTACGTCATTTGTTTAGTTTTCGTTGAAATGCGAATGTCATTCCAAGGGAAGCTACTCCGGGAGAGTTTAATGTATATAAAAAGAGTTACCCTTCCTGAATGAAGATTTTATGAGCGCTTTAATTGATTCACACACGTACTTGGAACCCTTGAAAAGCTATGTTTCCAATAAGGTGCCGTAGCGTTTCATGAGAGAGAGAGGGATTATTGGTAGATTAATGATAGGACGGCGGTAGAAGCACGTGACGAAATGGGAGGAGCATGAGGGCAGGAGACGGGAAGAGAACTTCAGTGCTAGGACTGAGGTATGTGTGACGGAGGTAAAGGCAGGCAAAGAAATCAGGGAAATGGGGAGCAGGAGAGGGGGAGTAAAGTACAGTGGGAAGACCGAGGTAGCGTAAGGTAGGGAAATCAGGGACATGCGAATAGGAGAGGGGAAGAGAAGTACAGTGGGAGGACGGAGGAAGAAGGGGGCGAGTAAATCAGGGACATGGAAGCAGGAGAGTGGATGTGTTTGTGTAGAGAGAGAGAGATAGAGAGAGGTAGAGGGATTATGGGAAGATAAATGATAGGACGGCGGTAGAAGCACGTGACGAAATGGGAGCATGAGGGCAGGAGAGGGGAAGAGAACTTCAATGAAAGGACTGAGGTATGTGTTGGAAATCTGGAAAATTGGCAACATAGGGGTAGGAAAGGTGACGAGAAATACATTGATAAGATGTGGTAACGGTAGGTGGGGAAATGAGGGCCATCGGAGTAGGAGAGAGGAAGGTGGGTATAACTGTAGAATAGAGGCTGGGTCAGGTGGGGATATGGGGAACATGGGTGCAAGAGAGGGGAAATGGAGTATAGTGGTCGGGCGAAGACAGGGTCACGGACACGTGAAGAAATGGGAGACATGAGAGCAGGAAATTGGTATGGACGAATAGTGGTAGGACAGCGGTAGGGGCAGGTGGGGATATCGGAGAAGGAGAGGGCTAAAGAGCCCCAATAGAAGGCCGGATGGATATGTCGAGGTTATCAGCTTGACGGTTTTAGGCGGAAAGGAACTGTAATTATACAACGGAGACAGGGGCAGATGGTGACATGGGGGCAGCAAAAGGCGCAGAAGAGGGGAAGGCAACTATAGTAGTTTGGCGTAGGGAAGTGCAGTGGGAGGATGGGGGTAGGGGCAGGCGTCGGAATTGGGGACATAGGTGCAGGAGAGGGGAAGTGAAGAGCAGTAGGGGGACGGAGGTAGAGGCAGACGAGGAAATCAGGGACATGGAAGCAGGATAGAGGAAGTGAAGTACAGTGGGAGGATGGAGGTAGGGGCAGGAATGGGAACTGGGGACATGGGTGCAGGAGAGAGGAAGTGAAGAACAGTGGGAGGATGGAGGTAGGGACAGGCTTGGAAATTGGGGACATTGGAGCAGGAGAGGGGGGGGTAAGGTACAGTGGGAGGACCGAGGTAGGAGCAGGCGAGGAAATCAGGGAAAAGGGAGCAGGAGAGGGGAAGTGAAGTACAGTGAGAGAACATAGGTAGGGTCAGGTGAGGAAATCAGGGACATGCGAGCAGGAGAGGGGAAGTGAAGTACAGTGAGAGAACGGAGGTAGGGTCCGGTGGGGAAATCAGGGACATGGGAGCAGGAGAGGGGAAGTGAAGTACAGTGAGAGAACAGAGGTAGGGTCAGGTGAGGAAATCAGGGACATGCGAGCAGGAGAGGTGAAGTGTAGTACAGTGGGAGGACGGATGTAGGGGCAAGGGAGGAAATCAGGGACATGGGAGAAGGAGAGGGGATGTTAAGTACAGTTGGTGAACGGAGGTAGGGACAGGCGAGGAAATTTCGGACATGGGAGGTGGAGAGGGGAAGTGAAGTACAGTGGGAAGGCGGAGGTAGGCGCAGGCGAGGGAATTGGGGACATGGGATTAGGAAAGGGGATGTGAAGTACAGTTGGAGGACGGAGGAAGGGGCAGGCGAAGTAAATGGGGACATAGGAGCAGGAGAGGGGAAGTGAAGTACAGAACGGAAGTAGGGGCAGGTGGGGAAATAGGGGACACGGGAGCAGGAGAGGGGAAGTGAAGTAGAGTGGGAGGACGGAGGAAGGGGCACGTGGGGAAATTGGGACATGGGAGCAGGAAAGTGGAAGTGAAGTACAGTGGGAGGATGGAGGTAGGGGCAGGCGAGGAAATCAAGGACATGGGAGTAGGAGAGGGGAAGCTAAGTACAGTGGGAGGATGGAGGTAGGGACAGGTGGTGAAATAAGGAACAACGGAGCAGGAGAGGGGAAGTGAAGTACAGTGGGTGAACGGTGGTAGGGGCAGGCGAGGAAATTAGGGACACGGGAGCAAGGGAGGGGACGTGAAGTACAGTGGGAGGTCGGAGTTAGCGGGGCAGGTGGGGAAATTGGGGACATGGGAGCAGCAGAGGGGAAGTGAAGTACAGTGGGAGGATGGAGGGAGGTGCAGTTGGAGAAATTGGGGACATGGGAGTGGGAAATGGGAAGTGAAGTACAGTGGGATTACGGAGGGAGGGGGGCAGGTGGGGAAATTGGGGACAAGGGAGCAGGAGAGGGGAAGTGAAGTTAAGTGGGAGGACGGAAGTAGAGGCACTTTGGGAAACTGGGGACATGGCAGCAGGAGAGGGGAAGTAACGTACAGTTAAAGGATGGAGGTAGGGACAGGCGAGGAAACTAATATGGACAATTGATCTGGCACATTGTAATCGACCATCGACTCTTAGACAACAGCAAATGTTGCACTCTGTCACAGGTGTATCTGACAACACGTGATATGGCTAGTATACTGCTAACTGCTGTGTAAAACCATACTCAGTTTTCAGTTTCTGTCTTGCTTTTACGTCGAGGAATGCACGAAGCTATGTAAATGTCACATCGCTATATACGGCCATTGTGTTTGGTAATGATAATATTCCTATCAGATGATTACAGAAAGATCTCATAAAACAAAATAGTTTGGATCTCATGTTAGAAAATAGAAACAAAGTTTCATAGTCTTCATGTTACACGTTCTCTTAAAAGAAAGCCTATGACAAATACAAGAACTGAAATTTAACTTTGACAATTCAAAAGTACATCTATATCAGGTAAAGGTGTTTCCCAACCATATGGTGCTCAGAAGAAGTACATGACCTGAAACAATACATCAAATCTTGCTATATTAATGCATGTGTGATCAGTGCTCATCAGAGATACCTACCTACTATATCCAGGTAAGACAAGCTTACCAGTCATCCATGTTTGTCTTAGAAATTATTGGTGACAATATCTGCTGGGTGTGAATATTGCTTGATGGAGGATAAGCTGTGACACACATATTATATCAGCTTTTGATCAGTGTTCATCAGGGTGAACCATCATTTGTGGCCAGATTAGAACAATTTACCAGTCACCCATGTTTGCCTCAGGATGTGTTGGTCATAGAAGCTGCTGGTTATAGTGTTTCATCAAATCTTGCTATATCAATGCATGGGTGATCAGTGCTCATCAGAGATACCCACCTTCTATATCCAGGTAAGACAAGCTTACCAGTCATCCATGTTTGTCTCAGAAATTGTTGGTGACAATATCTGCTGGGTGTGAATATTGCTTGATGGAGGATAAGCTGTGACACACATCTTCTATCAACTTTTGATCAGTGCTCATCATTTTATGTGGCCAGATAAGAACAGTTTACCAGTTATCTTACATCAGCTTGTGATCAGTGGACATTGGAGGAGGAGAGGTGAAGGAAAGCACATTGGTAGGCCGGAGATAGGGGCAAATGGGGAAATTAAGGACAATGGAGGAAGAGGTTAAGGAAAGTACATGTTAGGACGGAGGTACGGGTATGTGGAGAAATGGAGGACATAAGAGGAGGAGAGGTGAAGGGAAGTATATTGGTAGGCCGGAAGTAGGGGCAGGTGGGGGAATGGAGGACATTGGAGGAGGGGAGGTGAAGGGAAGTATATTGGTAGGCTGGAGGTAGAGCAGGTGGGGGAATGGAGGACATTGGAGGAGAAAGGTGAAGGGAAATAAATTGGTAGGACGGAGGTAGGGGCAGGTGGCGAAATGGAGGACATTGGAGGAGGAGAGGTGAAGGGAAGTACATAGGTTGGCTGGAGGTAGGGGCAGGTGGCGAAATGGAGGACATTGGAGGAGGAGAGGTGAAGGGAAGTACGTAGGTTGGCTGGAGGTAGGGGCAGGTGGTGAAATGGAGGACATTGGAGGAGGAGAGGTGAAGGGAAGTACATAGGTTGGCTGGAGGTAGGAGCAGGTGGTGAAATGGAGGACATTGGAGGAGGAGAGGGGAAGTACATAGGTTGGCTGGAGGTAGGGGCAGGTGGCGAAATGGAGGCCATTGGAGGAGGAGAGGTGAAGGGAAGTACAGAGGGTGGCTGGAGGTAGAGCAGGTGGGGAAATGGAGGACATTGGAGGAGGGAGATGAAGGGAAATAATTTGGTAGGACGGAGGTAGGGGCAGGTGGCGAAATGGAGGACATTGGAGGAGGGAGGTGAAGAGAAATAAATTGGTAGGACGGAGGTAGGGGCAGGTGGCGAAATGGAGGACATTGAAGGAGGGAGGTGAAGAGAAATAAATTGGTAGGACGGAGGTAGGGGCAGGTGGCGAAATGGAGGACATTGGAGGAGGAGAGGTGAAGGGAAGTACATAGGTTGGCTGGAGGTAGGGGCAGGTGGCGAAATGGAGGACATTGGAGGAGGAGAGGTGAAGGGAAGTACGTAGGTTGGCTGGAGGTAGGGGCAGGTGGTGAAATGGAGGACATTGGAGGAGGAGAGGTGAAGGGAAGTACATAGGTTGGCTGGAGGTAGGAGCAGGTGGTGAAATGGAGGACATTGGAGGAGGAGAGGGGAAGTACATAGGTTGGCTGGAGGTAGGGGCAGGTGGTGAAATGGAGGACATTGGAGGAGGGGAGATGAAGGGAAGTATATTGGTAGGCTGGAGGTAGGGGAAGGGGAAATGGAGGACATTGGAGGAGGGAAGTGAAAGGAAATAAATTGGTAGGACGGAGGTAGGGGCAGGTGGCGAAATGGAGGACATTGGAGGAGGAGAGGTGAAGGGAAGTACATAGGGTGGCTGGAGGTAGAGCAGGTGGGGAAATGGAGGACATTGGAGGAGGGAGATAAAGGGAAATAAATTGGTAGGACGGAGGTAGGGGCAGGTGGCGAAATGGAGGACATTGGAGGAGGAGAGGGGAAGTACATAGGTTGGCTGGAGGTAGGGGCAGGTGGTGAAATGAAGGATATCGGAGGAGCTGATGTTGGATGTACATTGGTAGGCTGGAGGTAGGGGCAGGTCGGGAAAAGGGGGACACTGGAGAAGGCAAAGTTGAGGGAAGTACATTTGTAATGGGGACATCAGAACAGGAAAGGGGAATGTTGTTGAAAATGTGGAGCTGTGAGTAGAAGCGGGGAAGGGAAGTCAGATAACAGGACAAAAGCCGTTACGGACAATTGGTCACAGACCAACCCTTAGACTAGAATAATATTGACAAGTTATTACGTACACTGTCAAAGGTGTCCCTTACTACATGCAATATGGCTAGGATACCGATTACAGTGAATCCTGTGTGACTGCAAGAAGCTATGGAAATGCCACATCGTTATGTGTGGTGGCTGTGTTTGAGAATTATAATATTTTCATATGACAAACCCTCTTGATATGTGACAGAAAACCTCTAGCAAATACAATAACTGTAACTAAGCTTTGACAATGCCACAAGGACATCTATATCAGGCGAAACTGTTCCCCAGCCATGTGAAACAATACATCAAATCTTACTACATTATGCATGTGTGGTCAGTGCTCATCAGAGACACCCACCTACTGTGTGTAAGATACGTTTATCAGTCATCCTTGTTTGTGTTTAGAACGTATATATATATCCGCTGGGAATGAATATTACTTGAAGGAGGACCAGTTGTTACATGCATATTACATCTGCTTATGATCAGTGCTCATCAGGGTGAACCATCTTTTGTTGCCAGATTAGAACCGTTTACCAGTTACCCGTGTCTCCCTCAAGAAATTGTTGATGGCAATATCTGCTGGGTGTGAATATTACTTGATGGAGGATAAGCTGTGTTACACATCTTATATCAGCTTACGATCAGTGCTAATCAGAGTGACCTATCTTTTGTGGCCAGATTAGAACAGTTTACCAGTTACCGTGTCTCCCTCAAGAAATTGTTGATGACAATATCTGCTGGGTGTGAATATTACTTGATGGAGGATAAGCTGTGACACACATCTTATATCAGCTTATAATCAGTGCTCATCAGAGTGACCCATCTTTTGTGGCCAGATTAGAACAGTTCACCAGTTACCATGTCTCCCTTAAGAAATTGTTGATGACAATATCTGCTGGGTGTGAATATTACTTGATGGAGGATAAGCTGTGACACACATCTTACATCAGCATTTGATCAGTGCTCATTAAAGTGACCCATCTTTTGTGGCCAGATTAGAACAATTTACCAGTCATCCATGCTTGCCTCAGGATGTGTAGAAGCTGCTGGATATGAATACTACTTGATGGAGGACCAGCTGTGAATTGGTTAGTTGTGTTTCATTCTGGTTTGTCTGGTCCAGACTGGATTACCTTTAATGACGCCACGATACAGCTGTGTTTCTCATTACTTCAATCACTCACCCTCTGGCATGTTCACCATAACATGTTCCATTATAATGCTGCTACACTCAGAGGCCAACTGAGGCTAGACAATGCCACTAAATCTGTCTAATGGTTTGGAGAATGATACAGGTACTCACACACATCTTACCGAGTGTGTTTTACTCCCCTCAGAGGTATCCTTTCTCACGTTGATAGTCAAACTGAAACGTTTCTGATCTTTTGTATGAAAATAACAGATGTCAGAATACAGTCACATATCGTATGTTGCCTCCTATCACTACACTGCAACATTATTGCCAGTGTGACATAAATGTTTAACTCACTGCTGACGCCTGTGTCACGTAACTTACACTCAGATACAGCAATACATGCAACTACTCATACGTTCTCTTAATATCATTAATGAGAACTTATTGTAACCATTTATGGTTCAAGCTAGATTGCTCTCATCAAGAATTATTTTTGAGACATTGAAGATACATGCTGATCGTCCATTTACAACCTTGGTCACTAATGAATACACATACACATTCACATACACTGAATGACATCACCTAGACAATGATGTTAATTACCCAAAATTGGTTGTTGAGTCACTTATGCGATGTTTAGCAATGCTCTTTCACTCAAATTGTTCCTCTGCTTTAACTAACAACACAATTCAAAATAAAACATAAGTATTACTTAGACTGCAAAGTGATATTTTATTAGGAAGCAAAAACATGTATTCCAGTTACATCCCAAATAAACGGCCTCCAACCTCCCCCCGCAGCCGTCCCTTTCCACTCTTAACATGCACTTATAGTACATAGTACTAGTATATAGTACAGGCCCTAAAGATAGCACAAAGAACACTAAGATAGTACAGGACAGGAGAGAGTAGGGTAGAAGAGAAAGCAACAGTAAGATGGTAGATAGTACAGGACAGGAGAGAGAAGGATAGGAGAGAAAAAAAAGTTTGAAACAAGATAGTACAAGTCAGGAAAAAGTAGGATAGTAGAGAGAAAAACAGTAAAAGGTTAGACAGTACAGGACATTAGACAGCAGGATAGTAGAGATATGAACGGTGAGATGGTAGATAGTAGAGGACAGGAGGGATAAGGATAGTAGAGAGAAGAACAGTAGGATGGTAGATAGTACAGGACAGGAAAGAGTAGGATAGTTTTAGAGAGAAGAACGGTATGGACAAGATAGAGAGTACAGGACAGGAAAGAGTAGAAAAGTAGAGAGAAGAACTGTTTGATACAAGATTATACAAAGCAGGAGAGATTAGGATAGTAGAGAGAGGAACAGTAAGATTGTACATGGTACAGGACAGGAAAGAGTAGGATAGTAGAGAGAAGATCAGTTTGATACAAGATAGTACAGGACAGGAGAGGGTAGCATAGTAGAGAAAACTGTGAGATGGTAGAAAGTACATGACAGGAGAGATAAAGATAGCAGAGAGAAGAACAGTAAGATGGGAAATAGAACAGGACAGGAAAGAGTAGGATAGTAGAGAGAAAAACAGGTTGATACAAGATAGTACAGGACAGGAGAAAGTAGGAAAGAAGAGAGAAGAACAGTAAGATATGAAATAGTACAGGACAGGGAAGAGTAGGATAGTAGAGAGAAGAACAGTTTGATTCAAGATAGTACAGGACAGGAGAGAGTAGGATAGTAGAGAAAAAATTGAGATGGTAGAAAGTACAGGACAGGAGAGATAAAGATAGAAGAGAGAAGCACATTAAAATGGCAGATAGTACATGACAGGACATATTAGGATAGCAGAGAGGAGAAGAGTTAGATGGGAGATATTACAGGACAGGATAGAGTAGGATAGTAGAGAGAAGGACGGTGAGATGGTAGATAGTACAGGACAGGACAGATTAAGATAGTAGAGAGGAGAACAGTAAGATGGTAGATTGTAGAGGACAGGAGGGATAAGGATCATAGAAAGAAGACCATTTCGATGGTAGATAGTACAGGACAGGAGAGAGTAGGATAATAGAGAGAAGAACAGTAAGATGGTGTATAGTGCAGGACAGGAGAGAGTAGGATGATAGAGAGAAGAACAGTAAGATGGTAGATAGTAAAGGACAGGACAGATTAAGATAGTAGAGAGGAGAACAGTAAGATGGTAGATAGTACAGAACAGGATAGAGTAGGACAGTAGTGGAGAGAAGAACAGTAAGATGGTAGATAGTAAAGGACAGGACAGATTAAGATAGTAGAGAGGAGAACAGTAGGATGGTAGATAGTACAGAACAGGATACAGTAGGATAGTAGAGAGGAGAACAGTAAGATGGTAGATAGTACAGGATAGGAAAGAGTAGGATATTAGAAAGAAGAACAGTAAGATGGTAGATAGTACAGGACAGGAGGGATTATGATAGTAGAGAGGAGAACAGTAAGATGGTAGATTGTAGATGACAGGAGAGAGTAGGATAGTAGAGAGCAGAAAAGTAAGATGGTAGATTGTAGAGGACAGGAGGGATAGGGATAGTAGAAAGAAGAACATTAGGATGGTAGATAGTACAGACCAGGATAGAGTAGGATAATAGAGAGAAGGACAGTAAGATGGTAGATAGTACAGGACAGGACAGGACAGATTAAGATAGAAGAGAGGAGAACAGTAACATTAGTAGATAGTACAGGACAGGAAAGAGTAGGATACTAGAAAGAAGAACATTAGGATGGTAGATAGTACAGGACAGAAGAGAGTAGGATAATAGAGAGAAGAACAGTTAGATGGTAGATAGTACAGGACAGAAGAGAGTAGGATAATAGTGAGAAGAACAGTTAGATGGTAGATAGTACAGGACAGATTAAGATAGAAGAGAGGAGAACAGTAACATTAGTAGATAGTACAGGACAGGAAAGAGTAGGATACTAGAAAGAAGAACATTAGGATGGTAGATAGTACAGGACAGAAGAGAGTAGGATAATAGAGAGAAGAACAGTTAGATGGTAGATAGTACAGGACAGAAGAGAGTAGGATAATAGTGAGAAGAACAGTTAGATGGTAGATAGTACAGGACAGGAGAGAGTAGGATAGTAGAGAGAACAGTAAGATGGTAGATTGTAGAGGACAGGAGGGATAGGGATAGTAGAAAGCAGAACAATAAGATGGTAGATAGTACAGGACAGGATAGAGTAGGAGAGTAGAGAGAACAGTTAGATGGTAGATAGTACATGACAGGATAGAGTAGGATAGTAGAGAGAACAGTTAGATGGTAGATAATTCAGGACAGGATAGAGTAGAATAGTAGTGAGAAGGACAGTCATATGGTAGATAGTAAAGGACAGGACAGATTAAGATAGTATAGAGTAGAACAATAATATGGTAGATTGAAGAGGACAGGAGGGATAAGGATAGTAGAAAGAAGAACATTTGGATGGTAGATAGTACAGGACAGGAGAGAGTAGGTTAGTAGAGAGGAGAACAGTAAGATGGTAGATATTACAGGATAGGATAGAGTAGGATAATAGAGAGAAGAACAGCAAGATGGTAGATAGTACAGGACAGGAGAGAGTAGGATATTAGAAAGAAGAACAGTAAAATGGTAGATAGTAGAGGACAGGAGGGATAAGGATAGTAGAGAGGAGAACATTATGATGGTAGATAGTACAGACCAGGCTAGAGTATGATAATAGAGAGAAGGACATTAATGTGGTAGATAGTACAGGACAGGACAGATTAAGATAGTAGAGAGGAAAACAGTAAGATGGTAGATTGTAGAGGACAGGAGGGATAGGGATAGTAGAAAGAAGAACATTATGATGGTAGATAGTACAGGACAGGAGGGATAAGGATAGTAAAGAGGAGAACAGTAAGATGGTAGATTGTAGAGGACAGGAGAGAGTAGTAACTGTATAGTAGAGAGAAGAGTAAGATGGTAGATTGTAGAGGACAGGAGGGATAGGGATAGCAGAAAGAAGAATTTTAGGATGGTAGATAGTACAGACCAGGATAGGGTAGGATAATAGAGAGAAGGACAGTAATATGGTAGATAGTACAGGACAGGACAGATTAAGATAGTAGAGAGGAGAAGAGAAAAATGGGAGATAGTACAGGATAGGATAAAGTAGTATAGTAGAGAGGAGAAGAGTAAGATGGTAGATTGTACAGGACAGGAGAGAGTACAATAACAGAGAGAAGAACAGTAAGATGGTAGATAGTACAGGACAGGACAGATTAAGACAGTAGAGAGGAGAACAGTAAGATGGTAGATAGTTCAGGACAGGTAAGAGTAGGATAGTAGAAAGAAGAACATTAGGATGGTAGATAGTACAGGACAGGAGAGAGTAGGATAGTAGAGAGGAGAAAAGAAAGATGGGAGATAGTACAGGACAGGATATAGTAGTATAGTAGAGAGGAGAACAGTAAGATGGTAAATAGTACAGGGCAGGATAGAGTAGGATAGTGGAGAGAAGAACAGAAAGATGGTAGATAGTACAATACAAGACAGATTAAGACAATAGAGAGGACAACGCTGAGATGGTAGATAGTAAGGGACAGGAGAGATTAGGATAGCAGAGAGAAGAACACTAAGGTGATAGTGTGTACATGGCAGGAAAGAGTAGAAAAGCAGAGAGAAGAACTTTTTGATACAAGGTTGTACAAAGCAGGAGAGATTAGGGTAGTAGAGAGAAGAACAGTTTGATACAAGATAGTACAGGACAGGAGAGGGTAGGTTAGGAGAGAAAACAATGAGATGGTAGAAAGTACAGGACAGGAGAGAGTAGAAAAGTAGCGAGAAGAACTGTTGGATACAAGGTTGTACACAGTAGATAGTACAGGACAAGACAGATTAAGATGATAGAGATGAGAACAGTAAGATGGTAGATAGAACAGGACAGGATAGAGTAGGATAATAGAGATGAGAACAGTAAGATGGTAGATAGTACAGGACAGGATAGATTAGGATAATAGAAAGAAGAACACTAGGATGGTAGATAGTACAGGACAGGAGAGTGTAGGATAGTAGAGAGAAGAACAGTAGGATGGTAGATGGTATAGGACAGAATGGAGTAGGATAGTAGAAAGAAGAACAGTAGGATGGTAGATAGTACAGGACAGGATCAAGTAGGATAGTAGAAAGAAGAAAAGTAGGATGGTAGATAGTAAAGGACAGGAGAGAGTAGGATAGAAAAGAGAAGAACAGTAAGATGGAAGATAGTAAAGGAAAGGAGAGCGTAGGATAGTAGAGCGAAGGACAGTAGGATGGTAGATAGTATGGGACAGGAGAGAGTAGGATAGTAGAGGGAAGGGCAGTTCGATTACAAGATAGTACATGACAGGAAAGGTAAAAAACATGTTTTTCAGTAACATACTAAATAAACGGCCTCCAACCTCCCCTCACAGCCGTCCCTTTCCACTCTTAACATGCACTTATAGCATTTGTTTGTTTGTCTGTTGTTTAACGCCGCCCACAGCAATAATCCAGCTATATGACGGCGGTCTGTAAATAATCCAGTCTGGACCAGACAATCCAGTGATTGACAATATGAGCATCGATCCACGCAATTGGGATACCATGACTTGCATCAACCAAGTCAGTGAGCCCGACCACTTGATCACGTTAGTCACCTCTTACGACAAGCACAGTTGCCTTTTACAGCAAGCATGGGTTGCTGAAGACCTATTATACACTGGACCTTCCTGGATCGCACTTATAGTACATTGTACTTAGTAGTATATACTAGAAGCCCTAAAACACAGGATTGTGCAGGGAACAATAAGATGGTACAAGACAGGAGAGAGTAGAATAGTAGAGTGAAAAACAGATTGATACAAGCTAGTAGATGTCAGGAAAGAGTAGGATAGCAGAGAGAAGAACAGTAAGATGCTAGATAGAACAGAACAGAAGAGAGAGTAGGATAGTAAGTCAGGAAAGAAGTAGGATAGAAGAGAGAAGAACAGTAACATAGTGCATTGTACAGTTGTGTTTGACAGTACATAATAGTGTAGTGTGGACAGTAAATAGGAGGATAGTGTTGGAAATGTGTTGGAAATGTGTTGGAAAAAGATAGAGTGAAATTAGCAAAAGACATGTTGAAGATAATGTTATTGTATAAACATTAACCCAACTATACACCAATCGATACCTACCTGTCCCCTGCACCTTACAGTGTTTAGAAGAAGTCCCTGGTGCCACATGAGAGACTGGAGCTGTACTCAGCCAGGAGAGCTTCCAGGTCCTCCAGAGTGTCCTGGGGCTCCTCCAGTCTTGCCTGCTTCACAGCTTGGGACACCTCGCTGTTGTCATCTGGGCACTTCCTCTTGCGTGAGGGCAGGGACTCCTTACTGGGCTCAGCAGTGGGTTTCCTCTTTTTCCTTAAAATAAGCTTAGTTAGATACAGATATTCCACATCATATTCATCATCAGACTTAGGCTCAGCTCTGTCCACTGCCTTGACAGGACTTACACTTACTGTTGCAGCAATGACGACATCTGACTTAGGACTCTCTGATGCTGAAACAACCTTATACTTTACATTCTTAACAGGGACAGGGAAGGTCTTACAACCTGTACTGCGCAAGACAGACTTTGACTTTATGTAAGCACGATCAGCAGACAACAATTGTTCAGGAAAACTAAGCTTAGGTGAGGACTTAAAGATACCATTATCACCCGAGGGCTTTCAGATACGGTTCCCAAGGGGTCTGCTCTGGGTTTTGACATGCTTAGCTCCAAGAGGCTGCGGCACAAAGTAGGGCTTGCTCTCAGGCTGATGCTTGCTTATTTTCTCCTTAGGAATGTGAGGCTTTGGCTGAGGTTTGGGGCGGAAAGTGCAGGGTTTGCGTTTGCAGGGCTTGAGCTCAGGTTGTTTGGTTTGGGGTTTGGGGATGCTTGTTGTAGACATGGCAGAAGTTTCAACATGGGCTACAGACTGAGGATGAACTGTACCAGGTAGGTCAAGTTGGGGCAGAACACAGGAGAAGGCCTAATGGGTGATACAGTCATTGTATCATTTTTAAATTTCATGATCACATAAGTACAATGGAAGTATATCTCTACTATAAACTTTATAAAGCAAGTATAATCATCTTTTGATTTACATTTTGAAATCATCAACAACAACCAAATACTCCTGCATACCTCTGGTCTCATCAGCTCCAGGTCTAGCACTGAAGACCGCCTCCGTGGTCTTGTGGTAGAGCGTTCGCCCGGAGAGCGGAAGGTCCAGGGTTCGATCCCGGGCCGCGTCATACAAAAAGACGTTAAAAGATTGTACTTGTTGTTACCCTGTCTGGCGCTCGGCATTAAGGGGCTAAAACAAGGACTGGTCGGCTCGGAGTCAGTATACTGTGTCTGAGTGGGGTATTCATGTTAAACTGCGGCATGGTATCTCAGTGAGCTAGCACTATAAATCGGCATCAGTCCGGACTAGTACAAGCAGCCACACACACACATACACGTGCATGCACGTCGCTATATAAGTGCAATAATCTTGGACGCGACGTTAAACTCAATTTCACCTCACCTCACCTCTAGCACTGAACTGGGCAGGCTGACAGGCGGCTGGCTGACAGGCATCGTCTCCCTACGTCTACTGGAAGGTGGTGGCTGGACTGCAGGAGTAAGGGGGATACCAGTCACAGATGGCTGAACTTCAGGCTGCAGGAGTCTTGGCTGTGGGTAACCAGCACCCAGGGAGAAGTTAACAGGATTACCAGCTGGTATCCAGATAGTGTTGTGATCTACCAGACATCTGGTCCCATCTCCCATCACCACTGTCGGCAACCCGGGGGGCAAGCGGATCACAGGCACTGTAACAGTGAATAGTTAACTAAACTGCCAACAAAATAATTCGTCATTTTGTTTACACTGAAAACCAATATCTAACTGTAAACCAGTTCGTTTGATTTACATCTTTTGAAAAGAAGTCTAGTGTGTCTTCTTCATTTTCCCTCAAATGTCAAATATGTCATGCCTCATGTTTACTTTATACCAGTACATCATAAGAAATTGCAGTAGTCCTAAAGTCCTTGCCACTCACCATGTTAAGGGTTTTGTTTGGCCTACATGTTATCATTGGAAGGACCAGTGGACTAAAACTGTTAGTTTCTATCGCTGCAGTGCCTAAAGTGTTCAGGTTATTCATAACTCACTTTGCAAACTCGGACTAAATACAGACATTGAAAATAGAAATTGGGGTATGGAAAACGTCAGCGTTTCATTGTTTGCATTGTAAACATATAAGGTAAATTACATGTTGCTTTATCACTGGCAAAATGCAAATTTCATATACCTGCCGTAGTAGGAGTCATTGTTTTTTCCACTTCGTCAAGTTGTATACACTTTTCGAGTTGTATTTTGTTGATAAAACTGCAAATACTTCCAGTAATATCTCTCAAAATGGCGGACACACAGGAAGGGCTAACTGTTGTCATGACGCCGCTACTCTCGGCAAAGGCACGCATGCGTCGACTTTATGCATAACTTGCACTTCCGTCTCTTTATTGTGTAAACATAGATAGATCCACACGAACACTTCCTACGTCATTTGTTTAGTTTTCGTGGAAATGCGAATGTCATTCCAAGGGAAGCTACTCCGGGAGAGTTTAATGTATATAAAAAGAGTTACCCTTCCTGGATGAAGATTTTATGAGCGCTTTAATTGATTCACACACGTACTTGGAACCCTTGCAAAGCTATGTTTGCAATGAGGTGCCGTAGCGTTTCATGTTAGATACAGTGCACTGACACTAAATATGTGAATGTTTAGGCAGTTCATTGTCATTGTATATAGTAATTATTTACGTCAATCCATGATTTTGTCTCAGGTTCAGGGTGTGTTCTGTGTGTGTGTGTGTGTGGAGAGAGAGAGAGAGAGAGAGAGAGAGAGAGAGAGAGAGAGAGAGAGAGAGAGAGAGAGAGAAGGGGGGGATTATGGGAAGATTAATGATAGGACGGCGGTAGAAGCACGTGACGAAATGGGAGGAGCATGAGGGCAGGAGAGGGGAAGAGAACTTCAATGCTAGGACTGAGGTATGTGTGACGGAGGTAAAGGCAAAGAAATCAGGGAAAAGGGGAGCAGGAGAGGGGGAGTAAAGTACAGTGGGAAGACCGAGGTAGCGTAAGGTAGGGAAATCAGGGACATGCGAACAGGAGAGGGGAAGAGAAGTACAGTGGGCGGACGGAGGAAGAAGGGGGCGAATAAATCAGGGACATGGAAGCAGAAGAGGGTTAGTGAAGTACAGTGGGAGCACGGAGGTAGGGACAGGCGTGGAGATCAGGGACATGGCCCTACCTCCGTCCTCCCACTGTCCTTCACTTCCCCTCTCCTGCTCTCATGTCCCCAATTTCCTCGCATGCCCCTACTTCCGCCCCCCCCCCCCCCCTCCCCCCTTGTACTTCGCTTTCCCTCTCCTTCTCCCATGTCCCCAATTTCCTCCCCTGCCCATACCTCCGCCCTCCCAATGTAATTCTTCCCCTGTCCTGCTCCCATGTCCCCATTTTCCAAGCCTGTCCCTACCTCCATCCTCCTACTGCTTTTCACTTCCTGCTCTATCCTGCTTCCATGTCCCTGATTTCCTCGTCTGCCTCTACCTCCGTCCCCCCACTGCTCTTCACTTCCCCTCTCCTGCACCCGTGTCCCCAGTTCCCACGCCTGCCCCTACCTCCGTCCTCCCACTGCACTTCCCTACGCCAAACTACTATAGTTGCCTTCCCCTCTTCTGCGCCTTTTGCTGCCCCCATGTCACCATCTGCCCCTGTCTCCGTTGTATAATTACAGTTCCTGTCCCCCTAAAACCATCACCTCGACACATCCATCCGGCCTTCTATTGGGGCTCTTTAGCCCTCTCCTCCTCCCATATCCCCACCTGCCCCTACCGCTGTCCTACCACTATTCGTCCATACCCATTTCCTGCTCTCACGCTCCCATTTCGTCACGTGTCCGTGACCCTGTCTTCGCCCGACCACTATACTCCATTTCCCCTCTCTTGCACCCATGTTCCCCATATCCCCACCTGACCCAGCCTCTATTCTACCGTTATACCCCCCTTCCTCTCTCCTACTCCGATGCCCCTCATTTCCCCACCTACCGTTACCACATCTTATCAATGTATTTCTCGTCACCTTACCTACCCCTATGTCGCCAATTTTCCAGATTTCCAACACATACCTCAGTTCTTTCATTGAAGTTCTCTTCCCCTCTCCTGCCCTCATGCTCCCATTTCGTCACGTGCTTCTACCGCCGTCCTATCATTAATCTTTCCATAATCCCCCTACGTGTGTGAATCAGTTAAAGTGCTCATAAAATCTTCATTCAGGAAGGGTAACTCTTTTTATATACATTAAACTCTCCCGGAGTAGCTTCCCTTGGAATGACATTCGCATTTCCACGAAAACTAAACAAATGACGTAGGAAGTGTTCGTGTGGATCTATCTATGTTTACACAATAAAGAGACGGAAGTGCAAGTTATGCATAAAGTCGACGCATGCGTGCCTTTGCCGAGAGTAGCGGCGTCATGACAACAGTTAGCCCTTCGTGTGTCCGCCATTTTGAGAGATATCACTGGAAGTATTTGCAGTTTTATCAACAAAATACAACTCGAAAAGTGTATACAACTTGACGAAGTGGAAAAAAACAATGACTCCTACTACGGCAGGTATATGAAATTTGCATTTTGCCAGTGATAAAGCAACATGTAATTTACCTTATATGTTTACAATGCAAACAATGAAACGCTGACGTTTTCCATACCCCAATTTCTATTTTCAATGTCTGTATTTAGTCCGAGTTTGCAAAGTGAGTTATGAATAACCTGAACACTTTAGGCACTGCAGCGATAGAAACTAACAGTTTTAGTCCACTGGTCCTTCCAATGATACCATATAGGCCAAACAAAACCCTTAACATGGTGAGTGGCAAGGACTTTAGGACTAGTGCAATTTCTTATGATGTACTGGTATAAAGTAAACATGAGGCATGACATATTTGACATTTGAGGGAAAATGAAGAAGACACACTAGACTTCTTTTCAAAAGACGTAAATCAAACGAACTGGTTTACAGTTAGATCTTGGTTTTCAGTGTAAACAAAATGACGAATTATTTTGTTGGCAGTTTAGTTAACTATTCACTGTTACAGTGCCTGTGATCCGCTTGCCCCTCGGGTTGCCGACAGTGGTGATGGGAGATGGGACCAGATGTCTGGTAGATAACAACACTATCTGGATACCAGCTGGTAATCCTGTTAACTTCTCCCTGGGTGCTGGTTACCCACAGCCAAGACTCCTGCAGCCTGGAGTTCAGCCATCTGTGACTGGTATCCCCCTTACTCCTGCAGTCCAGCCACCACCTTCCAGTAGACGTAGGGAGACAATGCCTGTCAGCCAGCCGCCTGTCAGCCTGCCCAGTTCAGTGCTAGACCTGGAGTTGATGAGACCAGAGGTATGCAGGAGTATTTGGTTGTTGTTGATGATTTCAAAATGTAAATCAAAAGATGATTATACTTGCTATAAAGTTTATAGTAGAGATATACTTCCATTGTACTTATGTGATCATGAAATATAAAAATGATACAATGACTTTATCACCCATTAGGCCTTCTGTGTTCTGCCCCAACTTGACCTACCTGGTCCAGTTCATCCTCAGTCTGTAGCCTGTGTTGAAACTTCTGCCATGTCTACAACAAGCAACCCCAAACCCCAAACCAAAAAACTTGAGCTCAAGCCCTGCAAACGCAAACCCTGCACTTTCCGCCCCAAACCTCAGCCAAAGCCTCGCATTCCTAAGGAGAAAATAAGCAAGCATCAGCCTGAGAGCAAGCCCTACTTTGTGCCGCACCCTCTCGGAGCTAAGCATATCAAAACCCAGAGCAGACCCCTTGGGAACCGTATCACTAAGCCCTCGGGTGATAATGGTATCATTAAGTCCTCACCTAAGCTTAGTTTTCCTGAACAATTGTTGTCTGCTGATCGTGCTTACATAAAGTCAAAGTCTGTCTTGCCCATTACAGGTTTGAAGACCTCGCCTGTCCCTGTTAAGAATGTAAAGGATAAGGTTGTTTCAGCATCAGAGAGTCCTAAGTCAGATGTCGTCATTGCTGCAACAGTAAGTGTAAGTCCTGTCAAGGCAGTGGACAGAGCTGAGCCTAAGTCTGATAATGAATATGATGTGGAATATCTGTATCTTACTAAGCTTATTTTAAGGAAAAAGAGGAAACCCACTGCTGAGCCCAGTAAGGAGTCCCTGCCCTCACGCAAGAGGAAGTGCCCAGATGACAACAGCGAGGTGCGTCAAGCTGTGAAGCAGGCAAGACTGGAAGAGCCCCAGGACACTCTGGAGGACCTGGAAGCTCTCCTTGCTGAGTACAGCTCCAGTCTCTCATGTGGCACCAGGGACTTCTTCTAAACACTGTAAGGTGCAGGGGACAGGTAGGTATAGATTGGAGTATAGTTAGGTTGATTTTTATACAATAACATTATCTTCAACATGTCTTTCGCTAATTTCACTATATCTTTTTCTACACATTTCCAACACTATCCTCCTATTTACTGTCCAACACTACACTATTATGTACTGTCAAACACAACTGTACAATGCACTATTTTACTGTCCTTCTCTCTGCTATCCTACTCTTTCCTGACATCTGCTATCTTGTATCAATTTGTTTTTCACTCTACTATTCTACTCTCTCCTGTCTTGTACCATCTTATTGTTCCTTGCAAAATCCTGAGTTTTAGGGCTTCTAGTATATACTACTAAGTACAATGTACTATAAGTGCGATCCATGAAGGTCCAGTGTAGAATAGGTCTTCAGCAACCCATGCTTGCCGTAAAAGGCAACTGTGCTTGTCGTAAGAGGTGACTAACGTGATCGAGTTGTCAGGCTCACTGACTTGGTTGATGCAAGTCATGGTATCCCAATTGCGTGGATCGATGCTCATATTGTCAATCACTGGATTGTCTGGTCCAGACTGGATTATTTACAGACCGCCATCATATAGCTGGAATATTGCTGTGTGCGGCGTTAAACAACAGACAAACAAACAAATGCTATAAGTGCATGTTAAGAGTGGAAAGGGATGGCTGTGAGGGGAGGTTGGAGGCCGTTTATTTAGTATGTAACTTATTTATGTAACTGAAAAACATGTTTTTTACTCTCTCCTGTCCTATACTATCTTGTAATCGAACTGCCCTTCTCTCTACTATCCTACTCTCTCCTGTCGCATACTATCTACCATCCTATTGTCCTTCTCTCTACTGACCTACGCTCTCCTGTCCTTTACTATCTTCCATCTTACTGTTCTTCTCTCTACTATCCTACTCTCTCTTGTCCTGTACTATCTACCATCCTACTGTTCTTCTTTCTACTATCCTACTCTATCCGTCCTGTACTATCTACCATCTTACTGTTCTCCTCTACTATCTTAACCTGTCCTGTCCTGTACTATCTACCATCCTACTGTTCTTCTTTCTACTATCCTACTCTATCCTGTCCTGTACTATCTACCACCTTACTGTTCTTCTTTCTGTTATCCTACTCTCTCCTGTCCTGTACTTTCTACCATGCTATTGTTCTTCTTTCTACTATCCTA